CAGAAATCTGGCACAAAGGCACGTTTGAGTGTGCGGCATGCCGGTGGATTTTGTGTGTGCATCTGTGTGCTTTGCTCAAATGTGTCTCGAAATGCAACTATCCAAACCTGAACTGCCCTAAAGAGCGTAGGATTATCATCCAGATCAGCATGTGCGCGACTGTTTCAGGGAGAAGGCAAATGTAACGAAAACACATACACACACTGCCCAGCCAGGAAAGCTAGGAGCAGAGTGAAGAATGGTACCTGTCAGGAGGGGAGGAGACTAGAGAGGAGCGATAACGAGAGGCTTAGAGAAGAGGGGGAGGGGAGAAACGATAGAAAGATTAGAGATACATGAAGGAAGTCTAATCGAAATGAGGGAAGGTGGGAGGCGGTGATGGAGGAGGAGATGAGACCAAATGAAACTGGAGAGTGAGAGTGGGGAGAGACTGCAGACGGGGTGATGAGGAGTGAGGCAGGAAGACTAAGAGGGAGAAATAAAGGGATGGACAGATTAACCGAGGGGAGGAGAGACAGAAGCAAACAGAGAAGAGCAGTAGACATCTGCAGCCCCACAGGCAATACAAGGAGGTGGTCCACCTCGAAGTATGAGAGACCGAGTGTGTTTTGAGATGGGGAGGTGAGTGGATACGTGCTTGTAATTGCAAGAGGAAAGTGACAGGGTAAAGGAAGAAGACAGAGCACACTCACAAATACATATACAAGCTGTCCTCTTTATACCGACAAGCTCACGCTGAGACAGATGTAGCTGAGAGAGAGAGGAGGAGACTGGAAGTTGATAGCAAAACAAGTTAAAAGCAGGGAAATCAAGCAAGGGAGGCCCTGGTGAGTTTGACAACTTATGCTCCAGCAATATGCAAGTCATTGCCAATTAACCCAGCAGCTTTTGCTGCAATGCATGTTGCGCTGACATTTGCGTAGATAAAAATTAACTTTAGAAATGCTCGTTGCTTTATGTGCATTTTCAGTTCATATCACTGACACAAACACTGGAGCCATCTGTTCATGTGTGGGGTTTCTCTTCCCATCAGTAACGAGTAGATTTAGAACTAGACAAGACCCCTTCTTATCTTCCAGACAAGGTTTGTCGGCTCAGTAGTTATACTGTACATATACTATGCACTATGTGACCAGCAGGCTGACAGGAGGGCAAAGGAGGCTGACATCAACCAAAACATGCAGCGTACGTGATGTGTTACACAATGTGGAAAAGGGAAACAAATCTTGTGTCTCTATTCTATAGCTGCTCACCAGTTTCAAGGTCATATCATCAATGGTTCTTTTCAGCTTAGCATTCCCAGCACTACATTTTACTACATGCATGCTTTTAAAATTGAGATTAAACCTAATTAAACTGTATGTGATACATACATGAAAACTGAGCACAATCCTAATCCTACTGCAGGTGTCATATTTAGTAGAGTCATTGTAGCTTGGGTCATTAAATAGTCGTAGTTCAAATGCTCTGCATGCAAAGGAACGGCTGGTCCACGATCATTAAGAGATTCAATCTGAACTCCATGGTCACTAATGCGAAGGAAAACTAATGAGGTAGTTTTATACCTGTTTATAATTGTAAACCAAGTCTGTGGATTAAGGCAGATTTACAGAACTGGTACAGGATACTCAGCAAGCAATGTAATGATTATACTGAGCTGCACATCTGGAATTAATATTAAGCTATGAAACTGTCAGACTTATAAGCATTTTATGAAAATCTCCCAGATTCCCGTGTCGAGTTTGATGTTGTCTGGTACTGAGTGAGAGGCCCATGAGCTTAAGTAATGATGTGGTTTTGTAAGTTGAGACATCCAGTACAAATATCTTGATTTCTTAATTCAGAACATGACACCCACTGCAAGAAAACATGAATTAATAGACTCCGTGAAGTAAACAATCCCTTTAATGCAAATCACTTTTATGTAAATGCTTTGAAGAAGATTAGACATTTAACTTTGTTTTTTAATCTGAAATAATTAGAGCTGTGTTCTTGATTAAAATGAGGAAAGTATCCCCATTTCTCCTTCACTGACGGCACTAAACTTCAAAGATATGGGCTTCGCCGTGGTGCGTGTGGGCATATACTTTAGGTGCACTGCTTACTGCCAGTGCAGTATGTGGTGTGTGTACTCCATGTCTATATCTGACAAGCGCACTCCTTCTCCCTTATCGACAAACCAGCAGTGTGAGAGACACAGCCATTGTCGAGCTAACAGGATACAACGGAGAGCATAGCAGGGCCCGTAGGCACATTAAGCCAACATTGGCTTGTGCAGTGAAGCCCACAGAGTCTTAATTGAATTGATAGAGAGGCATGGGCAGAGGGGTAGGGGATTGATGAGGAAAACATAAAGGGGGAGAGAAAATTAGGGAGAAGGGACCAGAGAGGGAAAATTGAGAGACCTAAAGAAAGAGAGAAGGTGGTGATAAAATAATGGGGAATCCATGGGAGCATGTCTAAGGTAAGAAAAAGCAAAATAAAGATGGCTGAGAATAAATGCAGAAAGCAGCATGTGGAATGGAGGACAGATGGAAAGTGAGAGGGTGGCTCGATAATGAAAGAAAATGCAAAAGAAAGAACAAAATAATTACAGGGAGAGAAAAAGAAATGTGAAAAACATAGTAATTAATGAAAGATAAACAAGAAGCAGTCAGGAGGTCAGCCTAGGCACAGAATGACAGTGGTCCAGCAGAGCTCCCTGTCCGTGACTACAATTAGTGATGGCTGAAGTTACGTTAAATCCACCTGGTAAATGAGAGGATAAATGAGCCTAATGTAGACTAGCCGGGAAAAGATAAACAAGTCTAGCAAAGGAAATGACAAAGCTATAAAAAGTTACTCTCGGAGGAAAAGGGAGCTGAGGAAAGCCAAATATACTGCTGCACTGAAAGTGAATTCAGACTGCACAGAACAGTGAACGCACCTAACCTAATCTGGGATTGTTTTGCTCAGCCAAGCCAGGAAAGAGGGGCGGCTTGGCAGACTGAGTCAGTGTGAGCCAGGCCGATGAAAGAATATTGAAAACTCATTTCTAATTGTGCTTTCAGCAGGAAATTCACATGACCCAAGTCAGACATAATATTACAAAGTAAAACATCATTAACGCTCCAAATGTGCCCGACCTTGTGCATTCTACTCATTTCCCCAAATCCATTTATACGGCTCTGTTTAAGATAATAATATAACCCATTACAGCTGATGCTCCTAAATCAAGGACTTTCGAATATAGTCTTATCTGCCAAATTAAATGAGTTTCTGGCATCAGTTACTGCAGCTGGGTGTTGAGGCCACTATCATCCCTGACTCCAAATGCATCTGTGTTGTGCTGGTAAACTAAATTAAAGCTGAAACGACACAGCTTGATCATGAAAATAAAGAGCAAGCTGGGACGCTCGGTGTCCATGTCTCACCTTAATAAGGTCTCCAAGTAGTTTGTTGGCCTCTGCGTAGGCCTTCTTCACCTCCTTGAACTTGTTGCCCAGTCCCATACTGTGAGCCTGCAATAGACCAATGAACCGAGTAAGCTTTTCTTTTCATTACAACCAATTTAAGAGAAAAATCAAGGAATGCTGGACAAGCCAGTCCTGCAGCTGAACACTTGGGAAGAATTCTACAGCGACGGTCCTGTGGTTTAAATCACTTTGAAATTATCTCTTAAATTTTTCAGTGTGACTATAACAGCACAAACGCTGCAGAGTCTTGCTTGTATTTTGGCACAGCATTCACAAACACTGGAATAAGCAGCTTTTACTCAAGTTTCTGAGCTTTGAACTTTAAGCACAACCGTGTTAACAACAGCGACTGAAACAGATGTTATGTTTTATTGAGCTAATAGACACAGAACCTGTTTCTCCATTTAAGTTAACCAGATACAAACCCACACTGGGACGCTGTGTAAAATGTAAATGACAACAGAATGCAAGGGCTGAAAATCAATATTGGATACGCGTGATCTTTGGGACCTCAGGTGTCAGCGCATTAAAAAACAGGCACAGCGTGAACGCAGTTCATCGTACCAGTCGCAAATTTTGGAATTGGATTCTTACAATGCAGTAACCTAATGTTTTTAGCCTTGAAATAATCCACTGACAGGCAAAAACGAAACAGCAGCATTTAACTGTACCTGGAAGTGAAGGTTGGTGTACTGTCCTCCGGGTATCTCATTCTCATACACGTCGGCATTGCCAGATTTCATGGTGGCAGTGCAATCAAACGGAGCATACAAGCCTCTGGCTACTTCCCAGTATTCACTGTAGTCAAACACCTTCTCCAGAGCAATGCCTGCAAAACAGGACAGTAAACTGACATCAAATCTGTGCTCAGTGCACACAGTTATGCGACTTGGCGTACGGTGAACTGAAAATTACTTTACACTTAAATGTCACATGGGGCAAAAACAAAAGCAAAGATATTTTGATGTTTGAGGTCTTTTAATATAGAAAACTAAAGTATGTCACTAGAGATAGAGACCCTGAGCAGAAATTTGAGTTTGTAATCTTAGGGGTTACTTACACTCGCCTGCCCCGTCTAAACCTGTTAAACTATATGTTAATGCAAATATCTAATCAGCTGATCACAAGGCAGCACTTAAATGCACGCAGACCAAAGTGTCAAAGCTCAAACGGAGCATCAGAATGACAACAAGGTGAGTTCAGAGACTTTGAATGTGGTATGGTTGTTGGTGTCAGACTGATGTGAGCATTTCAGAAACCATGACCTTTTTCTAGGGTTTACACAGAATTGTCTGGAAAAAAGCAAATATCCAGCGAGCAGCAGTTCTCTGGGTGAAAATGTTTTGTTGATGGCAGAGGTCAGGAGAAGGGCCAGACTGCTTTGAGCTGATAGGAAGGAAACAAACTCAAATAACCATTTGTTATAACTGAGGTATGCAGAAGGGCATCTCCGAGTGCACGACATGTTGAACCTCAAAGCAGATGGGCTACGGCAACAGAAACTTGTATCAGCTCAGTATAGGAAACAGAGGCTACAATTCTCAGCAGAGTCACCAAACAGCAGATATGAAAAGCAATGGATGATCTTTTTAAATGTCACAGCCTACCCGAGCATTGCTACTGACCATGTCTATTCTTTTATAGCCACAGTGTGACAATCTCCTGATGGCTCCTTTTAGCAGCATACGGTGGATTGTCACAATACTCTCAAATAGCCTCCAGAGTCAGATCTCAGAGCACCTTTAAGATGTGCTGAACAGGAGATTCCCATCATGAATATATATCGCTGACAAATCATGTCCAACCCAGTACTAGCACAGCATATGATGTGGCTGATTAGATTAAATGCATTCAGCATTAAACAACAATACTGTTGTCTTCATGTAAAGTAGCAATCACCAGATTTAGCTTACATTGTGATACGGTCTATAAATACAGATGAACTGTTAGTGAAGCCATGGGAGCCTGCCATTTATCTGAATTAGTCATATTGACAACATATGCACTGTGCCAACTAGTCAATTGTGGGCTTATGATGCTGATGCTAATGCAAAAAAAATAAGCAGCATGTTAAACTGAGCAGTGTGCTAAACGTTTGTTAACACACGCCAATCAGGTATGTTTGAATGCATCTCCAATGACACTACAGTGTGCTGATTCCTACTCTCAGCTGTCTGCATCACATACAGCAGAGTACCATCAAATAGAGAACATCGTGTGAAGAGGAGATGTGCCTACTTGGTAGGCTTCTATGTAGTCTCTTTCCCTCCTCTATCAATAACCCAGTATCAGCCTGTAGTTTTTATAAT